GGCGCGTTAAGGCTGGCCGGGGCTGCTGAGGTGCGGGGGAAGGCGTCCTGCCTGCGCTGAGCTCTTTCTCGCCCCGTTCGTCAGGTGCTGAGGCACGAGGAGTTCGAGGAGGGCTGCAAAGCCAGCTGCAACGGGTGAGTGCCCCCGCTCCTTGCTTTCGCATAAAACACCTGCCAGTCGTGACCTTTTATAGGTAAAATAGGGGTTGGATTGTTCTGTTGTTTTGGGTTTTTTTTTAAAGTACTTCCCTTGGAATCAATAGTTCCCCTTTTTGTGTAGGTATGATGTTTACCTTGAAGCACAAGTACTGCTATATTACACCTATAGGCTGATACTGAACATTATAAAATTATTTCTATACTTCCCGGGAATTACGTTCAATTACATTGTTTTTTTCCAGGCACGGGGCTACCTAGGGTCTTGAGTTAAAAATCCCTCCTGGTAGCCCCAAAGGCTTTTGTCATCATGAATGAAAGAAATCTTACAATCTGGTGCCTAACCGCTTACTTTTCCTACTTCACGATAAGGAAGCGCTCGTATAATTCCAGTTAACGAGCGGCTCGTGCTCCTAAAATGTGAACCGTTAGGAAGGAGGTAGAATCGCTTTTGTTGTGTGGTCATGAATGACAGCCCGAAGTCAAAACCATCGACGACGCCTGTCTGCTCTGTGCTGGGCTGCAATGAGAATTCTTCACAGGTATCAGCTCCTACTTGGTGGGAGGTGACTGGATTACCTGTGCCATCTGTTTACCCTAGAAATGCAATTCTTTCTTGAAACACTAATACTTGGGGTGCTTGATGTTTATTTCAAATACTCATGACAATTAAATATGGATATTCCAGCCCTTATGATGGAAAATGGAGCAAAACGATGGTGGGCTATGGGCCAGAAGACAATCACTTCGTTGCAGAATTGACTTACAATTATGGTATTGGAGAATATCGCCTGGGCAATGACTTTCTGGTAAATACCACACTTAGTAGCAAAATCTTTCTTCTTAAGATAAGCTTTTTTATTTTTATGATTAGGAGCTTGTTCAGCGTATAGGTTGTACCGGTTGCTTTTTTATGCTGTTTGGTTCCTTAAACGCTTTTTAGTCTTGCTTTTGTAGTTGTCTCCAAGTTGGACGAGCAGAAACTAGAGCAGCTTCGTGCTCAGTTAGGATCCAGGATTCGCTTCCTCGAGCACCTTCCAGCTCAGTTGCTGTGTGTGTAGGACAGCTGGTATTTGCTGGCAGATCTAACACGGAATGATTAGCTAAGAAGGATCTTGCTGTGGGAAAACACTCTTTTATTTATTGTTATTTTTCTCTTTGTTATTTACTAGCTGACAGCCAATGAATTTTTCAGTCTTCTATGCATACATGTAACGTGTTTGCTCGTTGTTTCCCCTGAGCAAATATTCATTCCCCAGTTTGCGGGATGTCAGGGAACAGCCACTTGGAGCCACGGATTTCTGCCTAACCTGGTAGAACAGTCAGGAACTCAGTTTTTCTTTTCTGTGCAATGCGTTGAATCAGAGTTTTAAATTCCTTTTGCTTTTCATTTCCCTTTGGTGTGAAAGAAGGGTAGATTAAGGCATATATGTGGGATGCGCTGTTAAGACTAAGCTTATTTTATAGGAGCAAGATACCGGGTTCTCAGGAGATCATCTGGTCCATCTGTTATAAAAAGTGATCTTGTTTGTTTCTGGTCATTTGCAGAGGCAGACTACTGAAAGGCAGGACTTACAGACCATCCACCCTCTGAATTCTGTGTGTGTCTGTTCTCTTCTCACTAGGGCATAACGCTTGTGTCCAGCCAGGCTGTGAGCAATGCTAAGAAGATGGGGTGGCCCCTCAGAGAAGTCACAACTGGTATTTTTGAAGCTGAAGCCCCAGGGGGATACAAGTTCTACTTGGAAGACAAGGAACAGCTCAAGCAAGGTGAAACTTAACACACTGGCTCTTACTGGTGTTCAAAACAGATTTACGAGCGGGACATAAGAGTGGGCTGTGCGTTTGTCTCGATGGCATTTTATGAAACAGAGCGTGTTTTTGTTATTTCTTTGTGGCTGTCCTTCTCAAGAATCTACGACTGAGTTTAAAACTACAATATATTTGTAACTAGTTTCAAGTTATTGCCATCTTACAGATCCTGTGCTAAAGGTAACCTTGGGTGTCTCCGATCTGCAGAAGTCTGTTAACTACTGGTCTGATTTGCTGGGGATGAAAATATATGAGAAGGATGAGGAAAAACAAAGGGCTTTGCTAGGCTATGCGGATAACCAGGTTAGTACTTAGAAAACCTTCCAGTTCTGATCTTTAAAAGTTGCGTCTCATCATAGAAACCTCTCATTTTGTGAGAACAAAATCCTAAAGGGAAAAAAAGTTCTTAATTAAAGCAACTGTGCACTTAATTCTGTGCATTTAAATTAAAGGTTGCATAGACTTAACTATATGTTTTTAAAAACAGCTGTGGCTTGCTCTGGTAATTCTGGTTTGTTGGGAAATATGTGTGTGGGCAATGTTGAAATCATCTGCATCAGTGAAAAGCTGGAGCGAATGTAGCACTGAGAACAAGCGTCCTTGCAAGTCAGGCTTTCTTTTTTCCCCTTTCAGTGTAAGTTGGAGTTGAAGGCTGTTGGAGGAGCGGTGGATCACGGGACAGCGTTTGGGCGGATTGCCTTCTCCTGTGCCAAGGAAGAGGTAACGATCCCATTTCTCTTACCCCTTTCGTTACCCAGAGCAAACTAGTGGGAGCCAGTGCTAATTTCTAGTACAGGCAAAATATCTGGGATGTGAACGAAATGATACTGCCCAGATACTTTGTTTCTCGCAGTGGGAATGTAATGGGGATCTGTAAATGAGAACAGCCTGAATGCATCTGATCTTCATCTGACTAGGGTTGATTTTTGCTTGTTTTCCATTTAAGTTGCCAAACATTGAAGCACTGATGAAAAAGGAGAATCAGAAAATTTTAACGCCTCTGGTTAGCTTGGACACACCTGGCAAAGCCACAGTGCAAGTGATTATTTTGGCTGATCCAGTGAGTAATATTGGAAATAGTGATTAAATTTTAATTTAAATTTCTCCCTGCCATTTATCTAACTTACCTGCTCTTAAACTTTGTTTAGGATGGCCATGAAATCTGTTTTGTGGGAGATGAAGCATTTAGAGATCTGTCCAAGGTGGACCCTAACGGGAACAAATTGTTAGATGATGTAAGTAATGCTATTTGCACACTTGTTTTCTTCCTGATTATAGATACCTGTGGAATCTAATTTTCATTCCATGTGGAGTTTTTCTGAGAAGCAAATTGTACAGTCTTGCTAAGGAAAACAAATCAGTTTTTAAAGTTCACTTAGTGTCCTGGCTAGGGCTTTCCAGCC